ACTGCTCAATGATGCTTGAGAACACTGCGCGTGCGCATTACCGTAATTATCCTACACTCCAGAAGTACCGCACCCCAAAAAAAAAATTCCCGATTTTATACATTATTTTGTACTTAATGTGTGATGTCAACAGTGGTGGTGATCTCCATTTTTAAAAGTAAATAATAATCCAAGAAAATACTTATCTTCCTCTTGGTTGACGTTTTGTTTAGCGTGTCAACATAAGTGTCACCCAGGACGCATGGGGGCGCTGTGGTCAGGTCGCTACGCTCTACCAGAGAGAAAGAGGCGTGTTTTCTTCCGTCTGTAGGCAGCAGAGAGCTGAGCCGCAGCATCCGCAGTAAATTAAGTAAAGGAAGACTACACTAAAACAGGAGTAATCATGCCGATGTTCGTGGTGAACACAAACGTGGCCAAAAGTGAGGTACCTGCGGCTCTGCTGTCCGAGGCGACCGAGGAGCTGGCCAAAGCTTTGGGCAAACCTGCACAGGTAACGTGAGGCAAGGGGCGCGCTGATTCCCAGTAGGAGCTGGCTCAAATCGTGGCAGCGGCAGCTAGTAGAGGCACTTCCTGTTGCAAACTCAGCTGCCACTGGCCGTGTTTGAATTCACTGGCAAGGGAGTGGCAGTAGCGGGTCATTTGTAGGTCATCTAAACTAGTATATAGATGTTTGGGGTCTATATCTGTGATTGGTCATCTGTGGTTTACAATAGCTGGAATGATGTAGATCAAGATTCGTGTGATCAGGTTCTTCTTACTGCCTCACCCAAACTACTGTCCTGTTGAGACAGACAGGACAAACAGAGAAAAAGTTGTATACAAATTGTATAAATATATATATCCATCCAAGTCAATGGGTTATATGGGTTGCTATCACTCTAAACAGTACAATGCATATCATCCATATTTACAATTTGCATTCCTTTAGTCTGCAGCGTGAAAGTGTTTATCGTTGCCATGGGCAACAAGAACCAACTGAAGTTGGCCCGCAATTAGCTTGTTAATAAAAACGAGTAGCCATACTATTACAATTCGGCCTTTTTTTAATAAACTAATTACAACTACCAACAGTCATGCCTTCAATGACCTTAATGTATTGTCACATAATGTCAAATAACAAAAAATAAAGGCTAAACTACGGCGGAATACGCTCCGAAACACTGGCAGCTGCCACAAGAAGCTAGTGGCAGCTGCCACAAGAAGCTAGTGGCAGCTGCCACAGGACGTTGTGCTGCCACAACTTCCTGTGGCAGCTGAGCTTGCCACAGGAAGTGCTTCTACTAGCTGCCGCTGCCACGATTTGAGCTTGCCCTTTCTCCTGATTCCTGCAGGATCCATGTGTTCACTATGAAACTAAAGGGTCATCCGCCTTCATTCTGTCCTCTATGGGTCAGATAGATAGATGAACTTCTCTGCTGAGGGCTTAAACGACCAACACCTGCAGCCTGATTTCCATTTAACTGCAGCTAAAAGTAGAAATTGTACATTACAGGAATAAACCGGCCACGACAAATTCCTTGTGGGTGCAAACTTCCTTGGCAATAAACGGTTCTGATTCTGATTCTGATAAAGGTGTGTTCACACCTTAAGGCTAGCTTCTTCATGCAACTATGTAAACATAGTCCTGACTGTTTGTAGAGTTAGCATGAGTAGATGATTGATCGGCTGCTTCAGTAACATTAAACCCTCGGGGTAAAAGTAAATCTTCTATTGTGTCATTCAAACTGCTGCTGAATACGTTTATTAAAAATAAGACCCAGAGTACTTTCAGAAAGTCCAAAATTATTATTTTTGCCACCAAAATGTACAGTTTGTACCAGTGATCGCTATGTCAGTTTATCACATTGTTAGGCCCAGGTTTATAGATATCCAACATCAGACGAAATGGACTGCGCTGAAAGAAAACATTTTAAATATAGGTTTAAATTGTAGTCAGGTGTAGCACTGACTGTATTGTTTCTGTGAATTTGGGGATTTTAGCAAGCAGTTCTGTAACATGGCGGTTTTGAGGGCTGATTCCATTTGTAGGGAAGTTATAATATAGGTTAAACAGTCAAATTAAAATAATTTGAAATTTCACCATATATCTTTAGAGATGCTTTCATAAATCTTCAGGTCAGGGTTGCAGTGGGCGGAATTTGAATTCATGACTTCACTATTTCCAAAATGCTGAGCTCAGTTTTGTGTCTCTGCCTTGCATATACCAGTACATTGCTGTGCTTATCAACCCTGACCAAATGATGATGTTTGGAGGAAAGGGAGACCCCTGCGCACTCTGCTCCCTCCACAGTATTGGCAAGATCAGCGGAGCTCACAACAAGCAATACTCTAAGCTCCTGTGCGGACTGCTCAACAAACACCTGGGCGTCTCTCCTGACAGGTATAGCAAACGCACACAGCAACCGCTACATGTACTGCACATCATGTGATAAATAAAGTATAACATGGTGACGGAAACACACAGACTCAAATACCCCTGTGCCTCGCATAACTTGTTCAATCTCATCAACGTATTTCTTTTTGTGTCTATTTCAGGATTTACATTGTCTTTGTTGACATGGATGCAGCCAATGTGGCCTGGAACAACTCTACCTTTGGCTGAGAAGGAGGTTAACCCACTGAAATGGAAGATAATTCCAGTACTTTAGTGTATGTATGAGCATAGTTAAAACAGACAGGGAAGTGAAGCTGCAAAGACACCTGGTAATTGCAAGGTCAATATGCCGTATATGGCAATCTTATAAGCACTTAGTTGGGCCCATTAGCTTTGCACTGATCCTTTTTTTCCATTAAAATGCAATAAAGAAAACCCTGCAGACCATAAATTAGTCTCTGTTGTCCTTGATTGTGTGTCTGAGAAAGACAAACT